ACCCCTTTGGAAAAGCCTTGGCCTGACGCCCTGGACTGAATCCTTTTGGAAAAGACTTGGTCGGAAATGTTGGCCTGAACCCCTTTGAAAAAGAATTGGCCGGAACCCCTAACCTGAACCCCTTTGGAAAAGCCTTGGCCTGAACCTCTGTACTGAACCCCTTTGGAAAAGTCTTGCCCCGAAGCCTTGGCCTGAATCCCTTTGGAAAAGCCTTGGCCTGAACCCCTTTGGCCAAGCCTTGGCCTGGACCCCTTTTGCCTGTACCCCTTTGGAAAAATCATAGAGTTCAGAATTTGTTGTTTACCATCTATATCTTGCATATCCCTCTTCTAACTTCTCATATTTCACTCTTCCTTTTGTAGTTTGCACATAAGGAATTTTTTTTTTTCAATGGGCTTGGGGATTATATTTGGTATCCAAATCACTGCGTCCATGATTGATTGAAATATTGCCATTTGTCTGCAGATTGGACAATGGATGGCACCAAGCCACAAGTCATACCTCCAGCCTGTAATAATACAGGAACCTCGAGGAAATAAGTAACAGTTATAGACACACTAAAATTTTTGATTCAAAACAGTTATTGTAAGAAATAAGATTTTAAACATCCAGAAAAAACTTTTTTGGTATAATTTTTCATATAAAGTTAATTGAAGATACCAAAAAATAAGTGTTCAAATTCTAGACTATTAATGAGATAAATCGTGATCTGGTTGAACTGCATAATTAATTTTAAAAGGTTATCTCATGAGAAGACAGAGAACTTCTTAATCACTAATTGAAGAAACTATCACCCTTCTCTCCCCCTACCACTTAGTATTAGGGTGCAAGTCTGTCCCTCTACTCTCCCGTGCCAAGTCTTTTGGACATAGACCTGATGGAGAGTCTGGTGGGTGTGGCAGTTGTCGACCAGGCCCAATCTGTGCCAGCACATGAACTTTAGTTAGCCCTATAGGATAAGGGAGCAGTTTAGTTATAAGAACAGAGAAGCATTTCAAGCATAAACAACTTGTCAATCACTGAAAGTTCCAAATGTGTCGAGAACCTTCAAGACAAGTAGATTGTGAGTGCCAGCAACAACCAGTTGTTGGACGCTGACTGACTTTGAACAAGCCAATCAAGAATTGGATATTCTCTACCCAATCATATAACTGATGGTGTCTGGAGTCACTCGAGGAGGGAGAACTAGGAGAGAACCCAGGGGACCCCATGGCCATGCACCAGGACTACACATAGGACAGCTTGAACCACTACGCTAGCTCATCTGAGTTTTCTTCTGGATTCCATCCTCTCTCCCATGCAACAGGGAAGTTGTGTAATTGTAGAATTGCATATATCTGTGATTAAAGTGTTTTGGTATCCGAGTACATTTAGTCTCCACACTGTCATTTGTTCTTAAACTACGATAATGACTTTAGGTGTCAGAAGTGGGGTACCAATTACACGGATCACAGATAGCTGTAATGTGGGGATGGATGGACATTAGGCCCTGGGGGTTGAGGTTGCTGCAGGACCTCGCTCAGGGAGCAAGGGGTTGGTGCAGTGGGAGGTACGTGTGGCAGCCTTTGGCCAGGGTTGAGACAACTGGGTAAGCCTGAGTCAATTGGTAAGCCCCAAAGACAGAGATGTGTGTGTGGATGAGACAGTAAAGTGTTTAAGCACAAAGAAGGGGAACAAGAAAGAAGAACCCTGGGAAGAGAGCACAGCTAGGCACAAACAGTCAAAGAGGTTCCTGCAGAGGATTGATGATAATTTCTTGACCCAGGTGGTGGAGACGCCAACAAGGAGAGGTGCAATGCTAGACCTTGTACTAACAAACAAAGAAGGTCTAGTTGGAGATGTGAAGGTTGGGGGCAACCTTGGCTGCAGTGACCATGGTTGACCATACTGGTTGTGATCTGTGTCTTCCTCCAACTGGATCCCCTATCAGGGAAAAGGGAATTTACAATAACTGAAGATTAAGAAGAGCTTGGCATTACCTTTGGAAAACGCATAATTTCATTTTGACTGCAAACCAAAATACCAAACTGTGTCAAGCAATTAGTTAAATGGCACAGTATCTAGAGTAAGTGATCAAACAATTACTTAATGTCACAAAAACACAGTTATTTTGTACACTAATACAACTATTTGATTTAATAGAACAAATTTAAATTTGACAAATTGAGCTACAGGTGTACTGATAATTCCTATAAACATATTCTCACCTTAAAAGTGCATATACCAGAGCAGCAATGAAAGTGAAACTCAGTACAACTACCATCATTACTTGGTCACTTATTCCTTCTATAACTGAATCATTATCTAACTTCAAACTGTTAACTTGTGCTTGGTGACAGGCCATTCCACATTTAAAATTAAAAAAAATATTTAATATATACATAGAAATATATATACATATATTTATACACACTAAATTCTTGAGACTACAGATTAATCATCACTTTGGGGAAAAGAGGAGGGAAAGCAAGAGTAATCAGCTGAATTCTACTAAATAGAGAGCTTGCTGCAGAGGATTGCACAACATTATTTTTTACACAGTAGCAATTCTTTAGATCATAGCCTAGTCTTTTAAGACCTTTTAAATCAGTCAGATACCTTAACCTGGAGATCTTTACCAGATATCTTACTTGGGCATAAGAGAGCCTGCTTGATTTGATGTGTTCTAAGTGCAATCTGTTTATACAGAGTGTAATAAGTCTATTTTATCAGGAGTATTAGCTAGTACAGACTACCTCATTGCAGTTAGGCTAAGAGAGCATTTTTTGAGAAAACTAATTTACATCATTCATGTGGGAAAAGAATCACTAATATTTGCATTTCAGTTGCATTTAAAGCAATAAATGTCCATTTGGATAAACAGGAGCCATATCATATACTTTATCTGCCTGTTCTGTGCATTTTATATCCTTCAGCTGGAAACATGGGCAAAGCTTGGATGGAAGAGTACACATCCAGGCTTCTCTCATTACCCTGTCATTTGTTTTATATTCATTTCATATCTGCAAAGACCAGAATGACTTGCTAACACTAACATTCATTAAACTACAGGTGGAAATATAAGCAAAATAAAATGATCTGCAACATGCTGCTAAATCACTCCTGTTGCAATCAGGAAGTGAAATGAACCACAGTTGTGAACATTATGAAACCAACAGAGTTAAGCTAACAATGGAAAAAGATGACACAAAATGTCATACTGAAGCTGTGTTCATGTACAGTTGAAGTACAGTTACTAGATCTGCAACATTTCATCTCTTGGTTGCTTATTCAACTCTAGTCTATATTATTAGTATACAAGGCTTGTGACTCCTCAGATGTTACATGTCAGTCCAGTTCCTTATCAACAGGAATCTATATCACTTAACATTACACCTGACATTCTCAAAAACCTCAGACAGGACACAATTCAATAAATTACTGAGAATATCTGAAGGATTGGGGAAACCCCAATCCCTTCACATTCTGAAATTGAGGCACTCTAGCCAAGCAACTGGGGAAGTGCACTGCCTATACATTCCCCCCAACACCCCTTCAAGAGCAAACATGACCAAATTGTGGATAAGCAGGGTTTTACTGAGAGAAAGTTACTGTCATTTTCCAGATGAGAAAAAAAAAATCTCCTTTTAAAAGTTACTCCTTCCACATGTCAAACTATATTATTACTAATAAGTGAATTTCTTTGGGTGCAGTACCCTCACAAAACCACATTGCTGAAATTGGAGATTACTGGAAGTTGGGGTATAACATAGATCCCTCCTAGTCCTATGAGCTACCTGTCAGAGACTGACTAAATCAGTTACTACTTATTCATTCAGACTGTAGGACTAGTGAAGGAGAGATATAAGGCAAGGGAGGTCAACCTGCAGAGGACCTCTTCAGAGTATTAGCACTCTTAAGGAACCCACTTTTTAATCAACAAAAATTGCCACTGCAAGCTCTGACAGAAAAAAGTAACCATGGCATCAGCTTTGCTAAGGCAAGCGCTCCAATACCAGGGTATCACTAGTGACCCACTAAGGTCGCTTAGGCAGAATAATACATACATGCAATAAGGTAAGTGTCTCAGCTGAAATGCACCTACAGACACAAGTAGCGTTAACACCTTTCGCACTTGTCAACACAAGGGTGCCCAGGCTACTCCAGCACAGTGTAGGGAGCAGGGTGCTCCATGCAGCCCACCTTTAGGGACCTCCCTGAAGAGCCTGGACCCCTTTCAGCTTCTCACAGAGCCAAAGTCCACCAGCACTCAGAAGCTGCCTGGGGATAGGATGTTGGTGTCCCGGGACACCAGCCCCACAAGGGCCCCCTCAGAGCAATGTAAGTGCCCCCGCAGTAGCAGGGCTCGCCCAGGAACGGCGGTCAAACCTACCCCCGAGATCGGAAAGAAAAGAAACTGTATGCCCAAGCAAGGCATTACCCACAAACCAGAGAAAATGCAGATCCCCCCCCCCGCCCCGAACGAATAAGCAGGCGGGCACTAACCAACAAATTCTCTTTCCTCAAGTACCGAAGAGAGAGGGATAAGTAACCCTTTTCTCTATAGATTACTGCAATAGCTGAATTTCCGATGAAGCTTATTACCGGTTTTGGCTCCGCCCTCATTAGCGTGACGTAGTAGCGATGACGGAGGCGGAACGAGCGGGTGGATCTTGGTAGGTCGTAGTGACGTGTATGCACCACAGCCCGGCTTGAGACGGGGTGAAAAGGTGGCGAGCAGCACCTTCGCTATTGATCTAGCCCATAATAGTTACGTTGGTGGCTTCAGGATTGCTGCGCTCCGCTATGTTCAACGTGGAAAGCTTAGAACGGGCCGAGCTTGGGGAGAGCCTCCTTACCTGGGTGAGTGCTCGGGCCCAGTAGGCCGCTCAGAGCGAGGTAGCCCAGCTAGAGGCACCCGCCGCGGTGCGCGTCTGTCCGCCCTCTCCGGTCATCTCTTCCTCTCCGCGGCCCTGTGGATGGCTCCGGGGTCTCTGTCACTTTAGTCCCCACACCCCGGGCCATACCCTCGCTCTCGGGTGAGCTTGATCCCTTCCGGGGTCTGCGGAGCCCCGGTGGACCTGCCCCGCCTGGCCAAAGCCCCGGGGCGGGATGGGGAGTCGTAGCCTCCGTCCATTGCCTTAACTCTACATTTGCCGGGAAAAATAAAAGAGCTTGTTTCCCGCGCGTGCCTGCACAGGGATGCGCGAAGAGGAAGCAGATTTCAGCGTGTTGGAGAGGCTCTGGTGTGTATTTCCTTCCTGTCGCGTGCCTAGACTTAGTGGGCAAGCATCGGTATGTTCATGGGGTGTTGTTACTCATAGAACAGCCAGAACTTACTGGACATTGAACCTGCTTTTGCAGCTACTCTGCATTTTGAGACGTGGAGCACAGTAACTGTAACATATCTGTGAAGCTGCTATTTCCTTAGCAGTTGACTTGCTGGTTTAGCTGTCTGGAATCATTGGCTTCCCACACACACATTAAGAAAATTGCCAAGTAAATATCTATTATATGAAACTCTGGAACGTGACATATTGTTGAAAACAAATAGATATTTTAAACTAATTTAAATAAATTTTCTAAAAAATTAAAAAAGATTTCAGAAGGTTAAAGTATTTGCTAACTAGCTAGGGAACTAACAAAATGCATAGTTAGAGGCAAAGGCTTCGTTGGGTGAGGAAGGGAGGCTTCTCTGTGCAGCCAAATATGATATAAAACAATGGTCTATATGTATTCTGAAGGACTATTGTCAACTTCTACTGGATTTGGGCACATGCAGAAGTTGGGATACTGCTGATTAAAAATGAAGTAAAATAAAATAACAATTCTTGTTTGTGGAGGGGATGAGGACCAATATATCTATATGAAGCAGTATCCTTGAAGCTTAGCATCCCATGGACGATTTATTTAAATACCCCAACTAATTTATGTCCTTTACATTTTTTCTCCATTCTTTGCATGCTGACCTAATTATGACACTAGCTTCTTCCTTTTTTGGTTAGCAGAAATATTTGTAAATAATTCTTAAAAAGCATATAGAATTTGTCAACACCATTGTGTTTCTTAGGTGATTACGTGGGATTTTCTGGCCTGTTTAGCCGTTTTAGTATGAAGGTGGATTTGAAATTGGCTCAGTTCAATTAAAAAAAAAAAGTGGTTCAGACTTAGCTTTTGTTCTGGCCCTACCTGGATTTAAAAACTGGTTTGGTTGAGCTGGTTTTAAACTTAATTGGCTGGGATGCATCTCCCCTTAAATTGCAAGATATGAAACTTGCAAAAGAGACCTTGAGGTTTTTTAGTCTCCAGTGAAACAAGCAATATAAACAAATAAAACTGTTTTCTTTGTCTGACTCTTCCCTCAAGTCTCATCATGATTCTTGGGGAAACCGCCCCTTTAGATGGCAAAAGAGCTGTTACAACTTAGAAAAGACTGGCCATGGAGATCTATTGTGCTGGAAAAATTGGCTCTTCTTAAGAACTGATTTAACCTCCTAGATTGTTTGTAAAAACACTTCACATCCATATAGAAATACTTACACTGATTTGTCTGTGTTCTGAGTAGATAAGGCTTTGCAAAGAGGTCTGAGAACCTGTTCAGCCTAAACTGAGTGTTTGCTGGCATGGATGTAGGCAAACTGAAATTGCTCCTCCCTCTGGCAACCTGTGCTTTTGATGGATGAGAATATCCTTCAAGCCTCCATGCCCAAGATGACTATTTTTGATATCTTTAAACTAGAGCAAGCCACTATAAATGTTCTGTTTTTATTTTTAATATCCCCCTCTCACTGTTTTGGGTTATATTATAGTTTAAGGCATTGCTCTCAGTTTCACAGAATCACAGAATGGTTGAGGTTGGAAGGGACCTCTGGAGATCATCCAGTCCAACCCCCCTGTTTCATTTATCTCTTGGATTGAGAGCACTGTCAGACATATTCCTGAATCATTTTTGTTCAGGGTTTTAAACAGCTGAGAGAGCTTTTGTTTCCTTCTGTTTCAGCAAATTGCCATGATGGTTCTTGAGGCAGCCAGGGTAGTGGCAACTGGAGCGAAACTGAGCAAGGGACTGGAGCCCAACTACTGACATCTCAGAGTTGATTGTTCTAAGCCTTAGCAGTGTTTGCAGTCCACTGTCATTGCAGAACTAGTACTCTACCAAAAAAAAAAATTTCCTAGTAGCCTCTTCTGAGTTTATTCTAGGCAATGTGGTGTAGGTACCGAAACAGCATTGCAACCAAAACAGTCCAGAACAATGTGGCTGCGGAATAAACCTGCAGTGTTTTTAAAATTGTTTCAGCATATCTAATAGAGGTACACAGCGTCATTTCTGTTTAAAACTTGTGACTGATCCAGATGCAGACACTGAGGTTTTTTGCTATGGATGTAGTAGTGTCAGGAGTGTTTTTAACTCAGTTATATCTTTGGGTCATGTCTGAAGATCTTGGAGTGTTTTCATACATGCATGTGGCAGTTACACTGTAATATGCCCATATCTGAACTAAATAAAATGGCTGCAGGCTGTTCAGTGTGTGGTTTTTAGCATGTGCTGTTTTTAGCATTTTTATAAAACATAGAAGTAAGATCTGATACTGGGGAAGGTTGCTTAGTGCTTGCTATTTAAGCAGCAGGATTCCTCAAAGAAATCAGTGTTGGCTGATCTTTTGTAACATATTGTTGTGGAGATGTTGGCAACTCTCCCTCCTCATCACAGTAACTTACTCTGTTGTATGTTGCCTCCATTGAGTTGCACCTTACCTGCTTTCCTTTTCTAATTGTCTTGAAGACCAAATGAAAATACTTTCTTCAGGTAGGGGAGTTGATGTTTATTTCCTTGGTAGAGGTGTTAAAACTCTCTATAAAGTGGGCATTCTGTAAATACTGTTCAAAGCCTCTGTTTTGACTTCCTCCATTTTGAAAGTGCTTCTAGTTCTTTATGTGGTATCAATCCTTACTATTCTGTTTGACTTTCTCCCTTTTGGCTGAGAAACTTCCTAAATGTGGTATTTGTGTCTTATACACAGTGTCTGTTACATAGACAGATTATTCCAGTTCAGATGAGATCTAGAGGCCATCTGAGCAACTCCTGACATAGAGACTTTGATTCTTCAAGAAGGGTCACAGAATCACAGAACAGTTGAGGTTGAAAGGGACCTCTGCAGATCATCTAGTCCAAACCCCCTGCTCAAGCAGG